ACACACACACACACACACACACACACACACACACACACACACACACACACACACACCTGTAACTTCTCATCTCTGTATTTTTTGCAAGTAAAGTGGTTTGAGATAAGTTTTGCAAATGAACTTTTGAAAAATGAACGTGTGGCGTGGTCCTGAGTGTGAAGAGCTCTGCTGGGGGTGTGGTGGCCCCCTCTGCGCTGGGCTGCGGAGCAGAGCTGGTCCTAGGGCAGCAGAGGCGGGTGGAACCGCAGGAGCCACGCGGCTGGGGAGCCCAAGTCCTCCCAGCAGGGCAGGCGTGGGATGGCGCCCCCGGGGCTTCCAGGAGGTGGCTGTTAGTCGAGAATGGCGTGGACGTCACCAGCGCAGCAGGCTCCAGGAAAGACCTTGTGCTGCCATTGGCAGCCAGGACATTTCAGCTGAGACTGGGTTAAGGACTGCGACGCCAGGGGCCGGCAAACTCGATCTGCAAAGTCACAGAGAAGTTTTTGGGTTTGACGTGCCACATTTCTGTCTCATAGTCTTCGTTTTTATTTCTGTATACGACTCCTTAGAATACAAACAGCATGCTTAGCCGGGAGCTGCCAATCCCTGCCCCGCAGGAAGGCTTCCCCCATAACTCCCCGAAAGTTTCCATGCGCTTGAAGAAGAGAGTTTGGGGTGCCCGCTGGAGAGCCCTGGGAGAAAGACCACCCAAGGTGCAAACTACAACACAAGGCAACAAGGGGAAGACGGTCCAGAGTGGCTGCGACACACTGCTCCCTGATGCCCAGTACACACTAAAATTACTAGACACAAGCACCCTGGGGACTCTGCGGGCTTCTGTGCTCTCTACAGGAGAACCGGACAGATGCCCAGTGGCCTGGGGACCAGGCTGTCATTCTTACGCAAGAACATAAGGGGAAAAGCTGTGGGGACGGGAACCCCAGGCTGGCCCAGAGAACAAAAGTGTAAAGTTTTTACGGCATCTACAGGGTGGGCAGGGACCTGGTCTCTTGACGCCATCACAGGGAAAGGTGGAATTTCAGTTGCACCTGCCTTCTTTATCACACCTCTTATATGATGCACATCTCATTTCCAGCTTCAGTGTCCACCTCAGGTTGTGACTTTAAAGTAAGAGTAATGTCAGTTAACTTAGCTGTCACAAAGTTCCACACATGCATTGGTCCCTAGCCACCTGGCATTGGTCCCTTATCATCTGAGAAAGTTCCTACTTGGGTTTTGGAGCAGGACAAATCACTCTTACCCTGTGGATTTAGTTTCAGTGATCTTTGGGGTGTTTTGTTTTTGTTTTTTGGCTCTGGCTTCTTGGGGTCTCTGCTGGCCACAGTCTTTGAAGGCCAGGGTGATCCTGTCATTTCCTCCACTTTTGAGCTCCCAGTTCTTCTGTGTGTTTATTAATCCCCTAAGACTGAGGGATGGCTTAGCCGAGAAACAAGGAAATGCCAGCCACAGTCAAGACAGTCAGTAGAAACCAGCCTGTGGAGGCCCACATACGCTAACAGAGACTCTAAGGCAGCACTAATAAATATGTTCGAAAGATGGAGTGAAGACACACTCTCGGTGAGTGAAGAGATTAGGACTCACATGAGAGGGGTAGAAGGTATCCAAAGAATCTAAACAAAATCCTAGAGCTAGAAAGCACAGTAACTGAAATGAAAATTCCCCGACAGACTGGAGAAGACAGAAGCCAGTGAGTGACAGTAAAGGCAGGTAGGTAGAAATCATTCAATCCGAAGAAGAGGAAAACGATCAGAGAAAAGTGAACAAAACTTTGGGTGCCTGGGCAACAGTAGCAAATGGTCCAACTCACATGAAGCAGGAGTTACAGAAGAACAACTGTAGGGAAGGGAAAAATGTAAAGAATAAGCAAAAGTAAACCCTTGATGAAAAACGTTTATTTACAGACCAAGAAACTTAGAAAAACATGCATAGGATATCTCAAAAAAATCCAAGGGGCCAGGCATGGTGGCACATCCCTGTAATCCCAGCACTCGGGAAGCTGAGGCAGGAGAATTGTTGCAAGTTCGAGGCCAGCCTGGGCTACAAAGTGAGCTCAAGACCAGCCTGAACTGCATAGCAAGACCCTGCCTCAAAAAGATCAAAGGGGAAAAAAAAGACAAAAAAACCCACGAACGTTACAAACTAATGCAAATCAAAGAGATGATCTTAAAAAGCAACCAGTGATAAGATATGACTCTCAAGGGAGCAAGAGCGAGAATGCTACCAGCTTTTCTCATTGGGTGGGGTGGGGGCCAGAGAACAATGGTAAGAATCCTGAAAGGGTGAAATTTTAAAACTGTCAACCCAGAATTCTTTATCCAGAAAAAATAATGTCTTAGTCAGGAGGCCAGCAGCACAAGAATGTGGGAGGATGCTTCAGGATGAAGGGAGATGATATCAGATGAGGGCTTTGATGGAGAGGAAGGAGAGAGCCACCCTGGAAATGATCAGTGGTACACATTAAATCTCTCTTTGGTACCGGGAATCGAACTCAGGATCTTGTGCCTCCCAGGCAGGCGCTGTGCCACCGAGCTATATCCCCAGCCCCACACATTAAATCTTACGCTTTTCTCTTCTTGTAATTTAAGAACCATTTAAAACAAATGACAGCATATGGTGGTTTCAGAGTGTATGCAGGGTGAAAGATGAAGACAGTCACAGCGTGAGGACGGGATGCAGGATATTGCGCAGCAGCAAGCTCACTGCACTTGTGAGATGTGCCCCCTCGGGTGCCAGATAGACGTGTGGAGGGTATGTGTGACAGGCAGAGGGAAGGCATGTTGTGCTGACCCTAGAATCAGGTATACCAAGGACATATTTCCAGGTCTAGAGCAAAACCACTAGAAGAAAATAAAAAAAGGTTTGACTAAGAAGCCAACAGAGCAAATAAAATGAAATGATGGCCAGTATTTGATTAAGCCAAATCAACAGAAGACTTAAAAAAAAAAAAAAAAAAAAAAAGGTCTGGGAGGGATAGCTCAGTAGCAGAGCATTTGCTTAGCATGAGCAGGGCCCTGGATGTAATCACCAGCACCGCAAACAGAAACAGTAAATAAACACAAAGGACAAGCACAAGTGACCAGCTAGCGCGTTGGAAAATGCTCAGCATCCACTAGACACTGGGGAATGCTCCTTCAATGACAATGAGAGGTGGGGGCTGTGGCTCAGCGGTGCAGGGCCTACCTAGCTGTGCAAAGCCTGCATTTCCCCTCACAAGTGACGGCGAGGACAGCAATGGCGATACGATGCTGCTTCACATCCAAAGAGCTAAAATTGAAAGTTAAAGAACCCAGGCAATAGCAAGTGTAGACTCCAAGCCAAGAAATCCCCGTACCTGTTCTGTTCTCACAGAAAGCCAAATCTAGCTCCTCCAAGAAGACAGGCCCAGGCAACTGCCATTGGTGGAGATGTGTGCCCTGTCCTGGCTGTGTGGAAGGGTTTCCCTCCTGGAGAGAGGCAGGCAGGCAAAGGCAGCACCAGGCTCTGTGGGGGGCAGGAAGCGGACCATGTGTTATTTGCCCTCCCAGCTGCCCCACCAGAGGTTTATTTTCAGTGGGGAAAGTGCTCAAATTAAGCACAAACACAGGGTTAGTGATTCCTTTTAATAATGGTGAAAATTGATGCTATTTCCGTTAATCAGTGACCATTCTTTTTTTAGACCTTTTTCACAGAAGACAGCATTCTGTTTTGTTTTGTTCAAATAATTGCGAGGATTTGAGCTCACATGGTCCCTCACAGAGCCCGTGACACTGTCTGCAGCCTGCAAAGACCCTGCTGAATTAATTACACATGGGTGTGTACGGCGTGCTTTATTGAAGGCAGGCCCAGCAGGCTGTGCTCACCCCCACCCCGGGGCAGGCCAGCAGGTTTCTGCACGGCCTGCGTACACCTTGGAATACTATCCAGCAAGGAAAAGGAGTGAGCTGTTGATGCATGCTGTGCCCTGGATGCACCTCTGAGAATAAGACTGAATGAATCTCCAATCCCAGACTTTCCGCGCTGTGCGGCTCCATTACAGGACATCATGCCAGCACAGTCAGAGATGGAGCAGAGATCAGGGCTTGCCAGGGTTGGGGAAGTGTGGAGTCCAGAGAGCAGCTGCTGAACCCCGCATCCCTGCTCCCCGAGACTGCCCTTCCTCCATTCCCCGAGTGTCCTGGGAGCGGCCCCACGCTGGGCACGCTGCGCAAGGTATACACAAGCCCGCCATCTTGCTTGGACATTTCCTGATGGGCATTTTTCTGCATGTGCTTAGCCAGTCCTTCCATAAATAAATTCCCCAGGAGAGCAAATAGTCCACAGAGGAAAATAAAAGCAGAGATAATTACATGGAGAAACAATCTGCCTCTCGAATAATCAAGGAACTGCAGTATAAACAAGTTTTTCTTCTAAATTAACAAAAGCCTTGGGGGGTGGAGTGTAGGCGCCGGCACCCCAGCTACCTACAGGGTGCAAGAG